TCAGCAGGCGTTACAGTAGTTTAGTTTCTATGAAAATAGGATGTAGGCATGAGTGTAGGGCTGTAGAAAAGAAAAGAAATCTCTTCACTCTTAAACTTGGACTCGATATCAATATTACAACATTAGTCCAAAAGTCTGAGCCAGTAGCCACTTACGCGCAACAAAGTTCAGTAGGCTAAACAACAAAAATAAGACTAAAACAACATAAAACATGACAGCCGGTAGTGTTATCGATCCATCGCTGAGCTTTAACATTTAGCCCGGGCAGCAGTAGTTAAATGCAAACACACTTTGCCATTAAAAATAAACTTTATCCTCTCAGCTCTTCTGTCCCTGAGGGCCGATGTAGCGATTTTTGTGCGTGGTTGTGAAAACGGGGGTGTTGTTTTGAACACTGTGAATATTTTCGCCACTGAAAATGTCAGAGCAGAAACTCTGAACTCCTGATTGATTCTGTGCGCAAAAGTTTAGACCTGTCACATTCTGAAAGCATATAGGTTAACAGTTAAGATCAGACCTTGAACAAAGACATGTATGTAGGTAACAGCCCCCTCGCCCACAGAGTGAATAGAATGACAGGACTGTAATGGATGTGCACAACTCGTTACATGTATGTCACATCATGTAACGAGTTCCACACCCAGTGCTGCTCAGACACAGTTATTATTTTAGGAAATAATTACTAATGTCCAGATTTCAGTGACCCTTATGAGTGGCTACAGCCATGTTTGCCACTGAAATTAGTTGAGCTTTATATTTTAGTGTATGAAATGCTCACGACCACTCTCACTGGAAGGATCAGTTGCATAGTTTTTAATCACCACTTGTTCTTTGTAGTTGCTAAGTAATAATTCAACACTTGTTTGAGCCCTTTTTGCTAAAAACAGCATAAAGTGACTGTGGGACGCGGGCGCTGGGATCAAGGCAGAGCGGTTTTGTCCCCCAATCGAGAAGTTGTTTGTTCGATCCCCGTCTCCTCCTGCCACGTGTTGAAGTATCCTTGAGCAAGATACTCAACCCCAAATTGCTCCCGATGCATAGCATTGGTGTGTATGAATGATTAGTTTCTGTTCGATGGACTTTGCCATCGCTGTGTGAAAGGGTGAATGTGGCACGTAGTGTAAAAGCGCTTTGAGTGGTCGGAAGGCGCTATACAAGTACAGGTCCATTTACCATTACAGTCATTGCTGTTCTCTAATTTTGATCATTGTGTTTTCTGCAAAATAAAGGTTTTTTGTTGAAGTGCCTTGGTTATTTTGTAAAACACTATTCTAGTAGCATGGTATAGCCACAACAAAAATTCATAAGATTACATGATTTCTGAAAAATCAAGTGTTCATAAATAGTTTTAGATCAATTTTGATCTCTAGTGTACATATATGTAAATCCCCTTTTTATTTTCATCATTACTTAAATCTGATTTGTATTGTTTTTAATGTTTGCTAATAAACTAAACTAATGCTAGTTTTAAAATTGACATTACCAAATTTACAAAAATCTGCATTTTGTTTGTTTAAAATGTCTCTCCGCTTTGAGTGAGAGTCTGTGAAAGGCTGCACTCGTTTTCAAATGTATACTAGTTTTTTCTAACACTCTACTTATTGTTTTTATATTCTGGCACAGTGGTTTGGACTTGTGCTTTAGATGCTGCGGAAGAGTACGAGGCCACGCCCCTAAAGTCACTGTCCTTTGCAGGTCTCTGATGCATTTTTTAAATTTGCTAAGGGAGGGACCTAGCAGAATTGTTGCAAAACTAGCTATCTAGTTAATGTCTTTGCAACATAGATTAGCCTAGCACATAGCATATCTAAGTACAGAAAAGGAGAACGTTAACAGTTTTGACCGAGGCTTGCTCAACTGTTATTGGAGCAGAACAAAAAAGAGGCGGGACTAAGAGTCAATTGTTTTAGGAGGCAAAAAAAAAAAGAAAAAAAAAAAGTTACCTAGCTTAAACATATCAACTCTCCTTTCTCATCTCCATTCTCCCTTTCCTATTCAGTAACTTCCTATTAAAGTAAATTTAAATAATACAGAGCACAAAATGAGACTTTAAATGTTACTGATTTCATTTGATTTATTTATTGCAATAAAGATGTACAAAGTATTGGTAATCATAAATGTTAAAATGTTAGAAAAAGCATATCTGTGACTGTTAACAGTACAGTGTATCAAAACATTACTGCTTCAACCAGCTGGGTCAATTCCATCCACGTTTGTGAAAGCAGGAGAAACAGGTTTGATC